AAAGAGCCATGGGTGTTTATGATTATTTACCCCTCAGCTAGGCTGGACTAAGTAGATTAAACGTTCCCCAAAGCACTTTCTATTTCAACCTTTCATGTTCTCTTGAGTGTCTGAGACCACCCTGGGAGTTGGGAGAAGGGGCACACGAAGCCACAAATGTGAAACATGTTTTTTAATTGAACAAGAAAGGATCTCTTTATTTAAGTATATGTACCTGATTCTCCAGAGAAACCAAGATGATTTCAAGGAATATCCCAAGAAATACCAATCAATAATAAAATCAAGCTAAATTTATATCATAAACAATGTACAAAGTAAAAGCAAAATGTTATGCAAACACATCTACACTATTAACACAATGTAATAACAAAATATGTTAATAGTATAATAGTATAATATATAGTATAATATATAGTATATAGTATATATACTATATAATATATAGTATAATAGTATAATATACTATAAAACTATAAGATTAAATTTTTAAAATCAGAATACTAAAATACAGAGTTAAAGAACAAGTAGAAATAGAAAACCCTACATACACCTCGAGTTTTCCCGTTGGGGTGCACACAGTGGTCTTCACTGGGTTGCATTCACACTTAAATTGATTCTGTTCACTTTCTACACTAGAAATTTTCCTCATTTTAAAAGCCTGTATATGTTGATTTATTTTTCAATGATTTCATTTATATTGATCTCTGAGTCTTTCCACCATGCCGAATGGCAGGGTTTTTATTATTATCAATCTCGTTTTGCACATATTCAGACAAAGGATGAAGAAGACAAATGGCAAGTGGGAAACGACTTCAGTCCAGATCTTTGGTCTCCTAAATCCTGGATGCCTGTGGGACCCCACACGCTTTATCTGGAGAGAAAACAGACCTACAGGAGGCAGAGCACAGACCTACAAGGAGGCAGCTTCAGTGAGGACAGGAGTGAAATGCTGCTGCAGAGTTGAAGCTGCTCATTTTAATGGCAGACATTGCCCAGCTGTGATTTGCCAGCTGCGGTAATTGTGGATATATCCATGACAAGAGGAAGCACCGCAGAATCAATGAAACCAGTCAATACTTGGTTGGGAATCCCCTCAGCAGAGGAAGGACTGCTTGCAGCCTGGTTGTTGTCAATTTGTTCTCTAATGTAAGTTTAATTTCAAATGCATCATTCTTTCTTACCTTTTATTCTAGAATTCTCACTCCTAGGAATTCCTCCCAGGAACAAAATTCAAAGGAAAGGAAANCCCTGTGAGGGTGGAAGGACATTTAACTCAAACATATGGAACCAGTGCTTTCAGGACACAGTGAATCACACCATCTGAGTCAGCGGGTAACTGGGAGCTGGGGAGCTGGGGAGCGTCATAACAGAAGGCAGCCGGCGCTTGCAAGCAGTGGTCTAATGGGGAAACGTCTCTGCGGGGAGACAGATAGTGGGAGGCCGTGCACACAGACAACACAATGCATACCTGCGGTTGTGTACAGAGCACAGACAGGCCTGTGGAAAAGATATCAGTTGTTTGGTGGAAAGCCCTAGTAGCCATGTTAGTGAAATAGATAAACTATAATATAGGAATACGAAACGGTAGGCTTTGCAGTTCAGTGTCTGGTACTAATAAGCCTCAACTGAGATAAATCGAAGAGGCAGTCTCCAAGTTGTGTATCCTAGCACCTGTCATGCTGTGTAGCACATAATATGTACTTGGTAAGTGTTTGTGGAATTAAAATCATTGTATTTATATCATGTACACAGATTTCTGTACCTCTTCCCAAAAAGAGAAAGGAAGGCAGTTCAAGGCTGTAAGAGGATAATGGAGAAAAGGGTAAATGATTAACAAGGAGGCTGAGAGTCAGAAAGACTTCCTGGATTTAAATCTTGACATCTTAACTGTATGACCTGAGCAAGTTATTTCTCCTTTTTGAACTCTTACTTATTTCCAAATAGCTGGACTAATGCTTCTCTATCAGAATTCTTAAAAACATCAGATGAGGTACATGTGCGTAGCATCTTGCACCAAGTTTGGCACATAGTAGATTCTCAATAGAGGTTAGTTTGTCTTCCTCACATGTTTTAATTATAGGCTATCTCTTGGTACCTATTTTGGTTTAATCTAAAGCATGAGCAATGATGAAGCTCCAATACTTTGGCTACCTGATATTGAGAAAGGTTGAAGGCAGGAGGAGAATGGGATGACAGAGGATGAGATAGTTGGATGGCATCACCGACTCGATGGACATGAGTTTAAGTAAGCTCCGGGAGTTTGTGATGGATAGGGAGGCCTGGCATGCTGCAGTGCATAAGGTCGCAAAGAGTTGGACACAACTGAGCGACTGAACTGAACTAAAGTGACACAGGAATAGAGACTTCCCTGGTAGTGCTAGTGGTAAAGAACCCACCTGCTGGTGCAGGAGACCTAAGAGACACTGGTTCTATCCCTGGGTCAGGAAGATCCCCTGAAGGAGGGCATGGCAACCCATCCCAGTATTTTTGCCTGGAGAATCCCATGGACAGAGGAGCCTGAGAGTCTCAAAGAGTTGGACACAACTGAAGTGACTTAGGACAGATGGATGGACATAGGAATATCTAAGCTACAGCAGATCAACTTGATAGAATACTATGCAGCAACAAATACAAAGATTATAACGATTATGTAGCAAAATGGAAAATACCATCATCTTAAACATAAAAAGCAGAATAAAAAATAGACAAGCTGCAATTTAATGAAAATATATTTTTGTGTAGATGAATAGAAAAATGAAGATTAGTGGTTTATACATGAATCTTTTAAAACAATTTTAATGTTGTTCTTATAAATAAAATAATATAGGAAACAAAATAATGAGTGACTGTTGCTTAATATGAACTTAACTGCTATTGGGTATCTTTCTGTGTGTGCATTGTCTAGCAATTTATCATGTAGATTTAAAACCAAGAGTTCTGAGAAATAACGCATATTTTCATTACTGGCTGAATGATTTTCACTAAGATTTTAACCTCTATAAATTTATAAGTGGTCACAAATTTATCCATCATAGGAAGAATAATTTTTATAATAAGAATTCAATAAATGTTTCTGGAGTGAATAAATAGACAGTGGGAAGAGATCAAATTCCTGTCATGCACTTGAGCTGTTTCCAATAGATGCTTCAAACTCTTGAAAACAGAAGAGTAAAATCAATCAGTTCTTATGTGTTATTTTAATAACGAGAAGAGATATTTTCTGGACTGCTCTTCACTCTGGTGTCTGTCAGAGCCTCCTTTCTCCAGTGTGAAAGTGTATGTGGCAGGTACCTTTAAAAGCATATCTATTGGAATAAAACACTGATTGTACAAGCAGCTCCTAAGGAGCATTGGGGGAGAGATGTAACTCCTTTCCCCCAGCCCCACTCTGTCTTCACCGCCAACTAGAGCTCTCTTAGATCTCTTGGACCTTGTGTTCCAAAGAAGGAGGCTTTGCCCAACTCCCTAACCCAGGACCAGAACTGGAATTACAGAAGGGATTGAATTTCTGGTACTTTACCACCAGACATCATTGTTCAAATGTCAAAACAAAATTCACCCCTTGTCTTTAAAATGATAATATTTATAATATTTTGTAATATTTGTAATTATAAATATTATTAGTTACTTCCTTCAGGTCATTTGATCATAATATCTGACAGTTGTCTTTTTATCACCAATGTGTGGCACACTCCCCAGTATGGTGCTGGGTACAGAGTGGATGCTTACGAGGGGGTAAATTCTGAGGCAGTGCTTGGGGGCCTGGGCCCAAGTGCCCTGCCCTACCCAAGGGCCCACTTCCAGTCTCCGTGATCATGGTTTTTTTCTTAAAGAATTTATTTTTTGAATAAATAAGCATAAGCATTTGGCACAAATTTTTAAAAGAACAGGACACAGAAAAAATAAATCTCCTTCCAACCCTCTTCCCCAGGTTAAGTGGGCCCCTTTGCAGTGATATTTCTGCAGATGCAAGTGGACATGTATAGAAAGACCTTTTAGCAACTTCAAAGCATTCCATAGTGTGGTGTGCCATAATTTATTTAAAAACAGTTTGCTATGGATGAAAATTTAGCTTGTTTCCAATTTTCTCTCTTACAAACAATAGGGCTGTTAAAAAATATGCTGAGGCATTTTAGACTTGTTAAGAGTTTTTTTGAGCAAAAATCAATCTGAATCAGGCGGTTCCAAACCAGAAGTAGCTGGGAGACACCACTGACAGGAGGGAGAAAAGGCTTCACCGGGAAGCGTGGGAGCCGGGGAAGCACTGACTGGCTATAGTTCAAAGCCTAATCGGCTGTTTGTGACTGGCCGTCCTCGGGCTTCAATTTCATAACCTTGAAGCATTTGCAGGCTCAGAAGTGGGTTTGCTGGTGTAGGTGCCAGGGCACTGGCACTCCCTCAGGCTAATGGATTCCTTGTTTAACAGCTTTAACAGTATAAATGCATATGGCTACTCCGCTCATGTGTGAGGACCTTTGTAGTTTAAGCACCTGAGTGAAGAATTGCTAGAAAGGATGAAGCAGAGAATGGTTGCTGAGAATATCTAGACATTTATGACTCTGTTGGGATCAGGTAATATTTATGAATTAATTTACAGAGATCTGACAATTTATGATGATGTTCTACCCAAAATTTAATGTCATTCTCTATATTCAATTCTCCTCTTGTGTTCTTCATCTTAAAATTTCCTTCAGATAAGGCTATATGTTTCTTATTTAAATTTGCTCCTAGCTGTTTTCTTTTCTTGTTGCTATTGAAAGTAGGGTCTTTTCTTATACTTTATGTTCTGATTATTATTTGTATATGTAAAGCATATTGATTTTGGTAAGCTGATTGTGCTGTTATTTGTGTAAATAAATTTTGTGTGTGTTAATTCTCTTAGGTTGTCTGGCTTACAGTGACATCACCTGTCACTATTAATGTTATATTCCTCCTTGCCAGATTGTAACTCTCATTTGTTTTTCTTGCCTAAGCCAGCATCTCCAGTAAAATATTTCAGTGTTGTTAGTGGGCACTCTGTCCTGTTCCCCACTTAATGGTAATGCTATTTTCAATTTCTTCAAAGGGTCTGGAATATAAAATTCCATCATTTTCTGACTGGTGAATATCTGAAAGTAAACACATACACACTTTTAAAGCATTGCTTTATTAGAAACATTTTGCGCAATGTAAATACATGACTCATCCTATAACAGAAAGATGAGACGAGTAAAGCTGATACATTTTTCTATCCTCCATACTCCAGAAGATAAAAAAAAAATGTTAAAGGCGCACCAATGACTTGGGTAACATTTTTAGTTTAACACATAAAAAGTAAATTTTATGAAATAATAAATTACATGACAAAATTCAAAGATTAGATAAGATAAGGGTATTCAAAATTAGAGCATCAAATTATTTCTTAATGTAAGCCATTAGACAATGAGTGTAAAGCTGCTTTCTCTAATGTTTTCTGAAAAACACCGATTAGATGGACATTTTCAAGAAAATCTGCCTATTGTCAGGGAGTAGGTGGTTGTTCCTGGCATGACGTTATAGGGGATGGGGAATGAATGGTGGATTAGGAGAGTGGTGGATGGTGGGTCCTTGAAGCCTGTCTGAGTCTAGACTTCACGGTCACAGTGCAGTGAGGCTCAACTCGGGGTGTGAGGAGCCAGGGTTCCCCTAGGCTCAGTTCTCTGATTCTCAAGCAGGAGTTCCAAGATGACCATCTATTCTGAAGGGAACAAGCAAGCTCTAGGCTTGCAGTCCCCCAAAGACACTAAAAGCACTTCAGTAAGAACACAGGTAGGAGTGGTCTACCTGTCTTCAGCAGTCTAACTGTTGCTTCTGGACCCCATTTGCCTGCTCTGTGCTGTGCGTAATGTTCATCAGTTTCCCGAGCTTCAATTTCCTCAACTACAAACACCTGCCCCATAAGGTTGGACTAAGAATTAAGATGATATGATTATAAAGGTGTTGGAACTGTCCCAACACACACATGTGAGCACTTCCATGCTCCTGTGGTGGGGGATCCACCCCTACCACACAGGAAGAATAGTTTCTAATAGTACATGCTCATCTGATTTGAGGAAGATCATTTTGATGATGAAATGTCAAGAAGTTAGAGGGAGCCGGGAAAGTCACTGATGGAGGACAGGCCCCAGCTCGGGCTGGTAGAGACAACTGGCTGGTGTTCAGAGGCCAGCAGCTCAGTGCAGGCTACCATGGAATCTATCACTGGTTCTCTCGCATGCTGCCATGGAATCAGACCCAAAGCCATCATTTCCCACCTGCATGTGTGCTTGTGGTCCTGACCGTCTCCATAAAAGCTTAGATTTTTATTGTTATTGCTTTGTGGCTTTTAAATTCAAACTCTGATCTCCTCTTATGTTGCCCTGACAGAAACTGCTCTCTATTATGGTTTCGGATATACAGCCCTGGGATTTTGGGGGTCACCGTGGCTGAAGAGGTGTTTGAGAAGGTCGTGTGGGCAGAAGAAACACCCTGGCCTTGTGCAGGGTTCCTGGCTGCCTCTGACACCAGCACAGACCAGGGATGAGCTGCAGCAGGTGGTTAAACATCATTCACCCACCTTGATCTGGCATCTCAACAAGGAGATGGATATGCTGCCCACTGGGACACTGGAGAACACTTATTTGGGGCACACTCAGATAGTCATTAGCTTCCAGAATTTTCAGATACATCATAACCTCACAGAATTATTCATGATGGTACCTGAGTAATACAAAACTCTTGTGTTAGGTGACTGCTAAAATGTCTCGTGGGGTTTTTTAAGATGACACTTCTCAAAGTAGGGATTCATTAGAGACAATTCTGACTCCACAAGTTTTGCTTCACTGGAATTAATTCAAGGATTCAGGAATTCCATGTGCCATGTGACTAGTACATAATATTGCTTAGACATGATAAATAATTCAGAATTCGCTCCATCATTGAAAAACATTGAAAAGCATTCCTAGGACAAACTAATTATATTCTTACTAAAATATGTATAGTATAGATATTTAAGTGCTCACCAGAAAATTGTAGAAAATACAGTCAGGAAATTCACATGCTGTGCTTTCGCTTGTTCCCTGGACCGTGGCCACCTGCTGGCTTAAGCAGGGCCATCTCCTGACGGAAGCACTGCACGGGAGAGGCTGAGCAAAGCGCCAGCTGCCTTCGGAAATGGCAGTGTGACTTCAGGAAATGACAAAGATTGTCTACTGTCCATGGATCCGAATGAAGCCAGGAGCATCACTACTCCTTCTGAGTGTCGAGAGACAGAAATACAAAAACACCAGTTAGTCAATTACACTTACAAACTGCGGCCAATCCTTACTAACTCAACACTGCAAAATTGGGGCTTTCCTGGTAGCTCAGTCAGTAAACAATCTGCCTGCAATGTGGGAGACCTGGATTTGATCCCTGGGTTGGGACGATCCCCTGGAGGAGGGCATGGCAACCCACTCCAGTGTTCTTGCCTGGAGAATCCCATGGACAGAGGAGCCTGGTGGGCTGCAGTCTGTGGAGTTGCAGAGTCAGACACGACTGAGCCACTAAGCACAGCACCGCACAGCAACGGTTTTGAGTTTCATCTCTAACTCATAGTAAGTGACATAAACCAGCGTTCGGATCACGACACCCCTAGAGAATGCAGCGCGGCACAGCAGTAGACTGATGGAATAGTCATAGAATTTAAATTTAAACACTATGATCCATTCAACTTGGGGAGTTGTTTGGGGTGAGACGGAATGAAGAGGGTTTCCTTACTTGAAGCATTCTCAAGGGCTAATATGCTGATTGCACCGTTGCTCTCCAGCAGAAATGACGGCATAGGACGCTTCCCAAACATGCCAAAGGAGAGCAGTGTGTCTACAGAGCATCTCTCTAGGCTGCCTTCCTCAGTGTACCCTGGGAAGTGCTGTTGGGTGAGCTCAGCCTGTTCTACAGCCACCTCAGCAGCGAGGAGCCTTCAGCGTCCACATTACTATTACTGACGACAGCCCTGCCTCACTGAGTGCAGCACTGCCTTACTGAGTGCAGCAGTGGTTAACTGAGTTCAGCACTGTCTCACTGAGTGTAGCACTGATTAACTGAGTGCAGCAGTGGTTAACTGAGTTCAGCATTGTCTCACTGACTGTAGCACTGATTAACTGAGTTCAGCACTGCCTCACTGAGTGCAGCACTGGTTAACTGAGTTCAGCACTGCCTCACTGAGTTCAGCACTGCCTCACTGAGTGCAGCACTGGTTAACTGAGTTCAGCACTGCCTCACTGAGTTTAGCACTGCCTCACTGAGTGCAGCACTGGTTTAATGAGTTTAGCACTGCCTCACTGAGTGCAGCACTGGTTAACCAAGTTCAGTACTGCCTCACTGAACACAACACTGCCTGACTGAGCACAGCAGTGATTAACTGAGTATAGCACTGATTATCTGAGTACAGCCCTGCCTTGCTGAGTACTAAACTGCACTGAAGCTTTCCACTTCCATGTCCTGCCTGATCCTGGGTGAGACTGGTTCAGGGGAATATAGGAGAAGCTTAAACATTTAAACATGTTCCCAACCCACTTATGGCCCCTACTCCCTTCCTGCTCTAATTGTTGGTGAATTTCAGCAAGTCCTGATGAAACATCAGGGACCATCCTATAAAGATAGGTGTTGCCACAACAGGAACACCAGAGGGCTGGGGCTCATGATAGGCTGTCTCTTTAAAAATACCTTCTGGAAATTTTGATCTTAATTCTCCTGAGATGATCGAGAATCACAGGAGAAGTTAGGGTGAAAAGCTGTTATTTCCAGATTCTAGGGTTAATTAGCTCCCTTATATACCACGTGCCTGTAGGAAAGTGTAGCAGGTATGATGAGAGAGACATGTATGCTTTCCTTTTTTATAAGTTCTTAAATCAGGAGCTATTTTAATTGCAGCAGAAAGCAAGATGGTACAAGAAAAGAGACATCTTTCTAGCAGAATTCACCCCAACCTCTGTCTAATGAGGCTTCCTTGGTGGCTCAGATGGTAAAGAATCTACCTGCAATGCAGGAGACCCAGGTCTGATCCTAGGTTGGGAAGATTCCCTGGAGAAGGGAATGGCAACCCACCCCAGTATTCTTGCCTGGAAAATTCCATGGACAGATGAGCCTGGGGGGTCTATAGTTCATGGGGTCACAAAGAGCTGGACACGACTGAGCAACTAATACTTTCACCGTCTGTCTAATGGGGACTGTAATGGAGAGATTTTTTTTCAAGTCCTCTGCAGGATGCTCTTATTAATGACACAATAAAAGTGTCTCAGACTGACAGAAGGAAATCAGCAGATCACCCCCCACCTTGCATATTCCAAATTGCAGACTCCCCTGAACTCGGCCCCAGGAGAGAGGACCACCCTTCGGCTGGGCATCCAGGCTTCACATCTCTGTAATGGGTTCAGGCACACTGGTTATGCAGAAGGGGTGGGAGAGACCCCAGTGCTCATGCTGATGACACGGTCACTCACCCTCCATCCTGTCAGGCCTCAGGCCTGTGCTTCCTGGATGCCAGCTGTCACACAGGAAGCTGCAGCCTCCCTCTCCCCCGCCTCCTTTGCTGGCTGGAGCTGCAGGGCCATGGCCTGGAGAGTTTCCTTCACCATCTGGAGCTCCCCCTTGAGAGACTGTGCGCACGTTGTTAAGGAACACACGTGAAGGTGACGGGCAGCCCCTGCAGCCTCCCAGGGATCTGGTAAGAGCCACGTGCCTGCTGGAAGCAGATGGGCACTGCCCTCTAATTGCAGTTTCAAGTTCCTCCAAATTGGACCGATTAAATATTAATACAAATGTTACACTTCTTTTAAGAGCGATTGCAGTTCCTACGAGGCCCGAGGTCATTGACAGTCTCAAGGAAGGTTTCCAACAGGAAAAGGAAGAGTCAGCTTTTAGACTGAGACAGATGGCAAGCTAGGACGCTCCACGGACTATGGTCAGTGAGCCTGTACTCCTGCTAAACTCCTGCTGAGGTGGGGTCCACTGCACATACAAGTGCCCTGACAATGGAAAGGGAAGACGGCTGGAAACCAGTCTCCTGGGGAAAGCCAGGACTGGGCGCCACCACAGGTCCACGCCCAGAGTCATGAGTTACAGTGCCTGTCGGCCACTGGCCAGCCTTGTCACCGTGTGTAAATCATTTTGAATCTCAGTTTTCTCCTGAAACAATGACTTCAAAACCCCTTTGGTTCCAATCTGCTGTCATGTGTTACTATGCTCTGGGGCACTTGTGAAACAGCCATTCGGGGCACTAGAGATTTGACAGAGGCAGGGAGCTTGCACTCTCTGGGTTGGCTAGTTGATTGATACATTTTTTCTTTAAACTGTTGGGCCCTTAGTTTCCTAACCTATAAAGTTGTTTCTCCTGGAGATAAAGCAATCACAGAGAACTTAGCAAATAATTCTATGGAATAAATAATATGACGGCCTTTCTTTTAAGAGATGAGCTCTCTACTAAGTGTTTAAGCTCGGGAACATTTAAACAATGGTGGTCTTCCTGTCTATCCACAGCTAACTCTGCTTTTCCTGGTGTACCTATAGTCAGAACAATTCTAAGACAAATACAGAATGACTGGTGGATTAGATTCTCTTAGTTTAATAAGCAAACTAATTTAACTTCATCCAACAGGAACTTAAGAAGAAACAAAGAAACATGTTGACCCCACTGAAGTGCTGTTAAGTCATCACATGAGGTCAGACCACTTAAATATTACTAGATCAGATATAGAGAAAACAGAAGGCTTTAGGGTAAGCAGCTTGCAGAAATCTTCCCACTCACAGACTGCCTACATCTACTACAGTGTTGTTTTATCCAAATGCGATGTCAAGAGACAGAGATACCTTTAGGTTATGACTATAGGAAGCTTTCTTTTTTCTTTTTTAAACAAGGAACTCCAAAGGATCCTGGGAATTATGCAAATGAAGCTCACCTAAACAAAAAATGCTGAGCCACCCTGACAAGCTTTTGGCAGTTATTCTTGCTCTTGAAGCCTCACCAGACTTCATCGCTTACATAATTTACATACATCTACTATGATGATTCACTCCTTGCACTTGAACTTGAGTGAGGGAGTGGTGGGGATAAGAGGGTGGAGTTGAGGAGATCCAAGAGAAGAAAGTATCCAATACTTGTCTTTTTTCTTTTTTAAAAGATTTCGTTTTCTTCTATTCCTCTGAACAGCTCTGCTAATCTTTAGTAAAAACACATATGACTTTACACAAGCAGGAACATAAGTGGTCCCAGACCAAATACCAAGCTGCCAATTAATCACAAAGTTAAGCTACGTTTATAAAGAGTAAGCATAGAGCTTAAGCAGTTTATGAGTCTTGACAGACTCCTGAGACTTCATTACCTCTGATAGGCAGTCTGGGCCTACAGGCCCCACTCTTGTGATATGCTGAATGACAACCAGCATTTTTAGAGAGAGAAACTGAACCAAACTCAACTGCCTCTTAAAGAACTCATAAAATTTCTAGCATTGGGAGAACGCACTGAAAAAGGGTTTTGAAAAGAGAAAGAAGCCACAAAAGAAAAAGACTATGTTATACAACTAAAATAACACTCAGACAATAATCTCAGACAATCTCAGCCCCTCAGACAATAATCTCCAGGGACACAGGGAGGAATGAGAAGATGGAAATTTGAGGATGTGCCCATCAGCTGTGGGAAGCTGGCAAACCATCCAATGCTTTCATTATCTTACTTATAAAATGCAGATTTTCTGACTGCTCCTCCAATGAATTCATAGTTAAAGCCGGTTGATATTTGACCATGTGTTTTGTGAAAGTTCTGAGGAAACAGAGTAAAACTTCAGTGTTGGAATTTATGTACATGTGACAGAGGTGCTCATTATATCTAAGTGCAAGAAGAGGCCTAAAAGGAGTTAAATGATTCTTAGTATGCCTGTGCCTTAGCAGCCTCTCAGCCAAGTGGGTATTTCATTCTCTGTAACAGATACACCACCAAAGATCTGAGGCAGCTAAGAAAATCAGCACATTAATTACAATGGCATAAGGATTGGCATGCCAGTATCTTTAAAAACCCCTTTGAACCCGAGACCACCTTGCTATAGACTACAGGTGTATTAGGCAAGAGTATTACTTCTTTAAAAAATTTTTTTTTTACAATTAAAAAAGGTTTTTAAAATTTTTGGCTGTGCTGGGTCTTCGCTGTAGCACATGAGCTCCGAGTTTTGCCACACGGGCTTGGCCGCCTGGAAGCAAGTGAGATCTTTGCTCCTTGACTAGGGATTGAATCCACATCCCCTGCATTGAAAGGCGGATTCTTAACTAGTGGACCAGCAGGGAAGTCCCAAGAACATTACTTCTTGATAGCAAAATTGTGCAGTGTGTTTGCAATGAATGAAAGCACGTTTCACATGCGTCTTCCAGTGCTAAGACCACACTGTCCTTTAGGGCAGGCATGTCCAAAGATCCTCAGATTTTTCCAAAGAGATCTTTTGTTTATATATCAAAAATAATTGAGTGTTTTACTGCCAAGTGTGATTCCAAGCGATCATTTTATTAGCTGGGTCAAACGACGATCTTCAGTTCATTTGATCCCCTTTGCTTCCAAAAAAAGTAACAGTACTTCTTTTGAAATAGTTACTCATTTGCTAAATTATTTTTTCATTGTCAACAGTGACTCTGCAGGCCCTGTGGCCATAGTCCTGGGAACTCTCCTTCATTCCCAAAGCCAAAAGCGAGGGCACAGTTGTTGAGGAGCGAAGAGGAAAGCCCCGCCGACACACAACAGCCTCAAAGGGTGTGAAGCTTTGCGCAGGCGCACTTCCTGTGGTGCCGCCTAGGGCCAAGTTAACCCGCGCTAAGCCTGCAGTAGGAGCCAGGTGTCCACACCTCTCCTGGGCCCCTGCTCCTCCTCTTCCCATTCCACTCCTTTTCGTGGGGGCCAGAGGGAAGAACCCCAGCCCCCATATTCGCATCAGACCAGTGCACACAATGGTCAAACTGCAGTGTCTTAGGGTCTCACTTCTTTCATCTGTGACACCATGATGGTCACAATCCCTCTTCCAGCTCTTCAGTTCTAGGAGATGAAAGCATTTCCAAGGAGGCAAGAGCAAGTCCCCCACTCCCATTTCCTTTGTCAGTTACAGCCGCATGTTTTAAAGCTGAACCAAACAAGGGCTCTTAAGCTCATGTGGCATTTGTGTATGTGTCTGGATGTATTTAGAGTGTTTGCATGCCATCAAGCACCACCAAAACTAATGGATTGGGCACCACGCATTCCAAGTAAAGAGAAAGAACAGAAATCCAGGAGGGTTTCCTGGACATGAATGCAAATAGAACCACAGATAGAATCAGTCTGTCCTGTCTCATCTAGGATTCAGAGGCAGGCAGAATTACTCTGGGGGCTCTGAAATATGCTCAATGTCCCACTCCTAGGTGTCCTTCTGTCCTTCTGAAAGAGTGTTGTACAAGTTGAAGGAGGAAGAGAAAAATCACCGCTAAAACATCCACCTAACCTAGATGGTTTTCAGTTAAAGCGCTATCTACGTGGAGGAATGATTCCATCCCCTCAACATGTTTTTTCAAAACACAACTGCTAATTAGGATCCAAAGTGACTGTGAAATTATACTACAGACTCAGACACACACTCCTGGAAATCCCGGCTTGAGTGGCAGTGAAGTCACACCTCCCGTCCTCGCCTCAGATGCCAGGCGTGAGTCACCTCTGTGACGCCGGCTCTTCCAATTAACGCTGCAGACTCTTCTCAGATGCTTGCTGTGTGCTGCCTGATGGGCTGGTGCTGTTACTCGGTGTGATTTAGTGAGCCTGTCAGGAGGATGAGGAGACACGGCCTGTCTTCTCCCCTTCCTCCGCTCTGTCAATCCAGTGTCTTCTTCATAAAAACAAGAGACTACAAGTCAGCTGTCCACGGCCTTGATGTGAAACCAGGATGCCCAGAGGATCTGCTGGGAAGGTCAGCCCCACTGCTTGTGACTGCCACCCACCCCTGATGCTGCAGCCCCAGGGCTTTCTCCTGGCTTATGCAAAGTTCCATGCCTCTCGCATCTGGAGTGTCCAAGGCTTGAATCTTCTGGACATGGACATCGATGTGGGCTCGAATTAATCATGTTCACGCTGCAGCCTACACACAGGAGGCTCTGGCAGAGTCCTTAATGGAATCAAACAAAAATACTACGCTCGCTGGGAAATTCTTTCCTGTTGTTGACGGCAAGCTGTTTCTTTCAACTGCACTCAGCTTTGTCTCTTTGATCAAGAATGGAAACACAAACCAGTCAGAGCTTGGCTGGAGGATTTCAGCAGCCTCTTTGAATCGAGATAAGTTCTCATTTGAAACAAGGGCTTTGGTTTGTGAAAGAAGCCTCAGCAGTGCCTTGTAAATGTGTCTTTCTATTTCAGGGCACCCAGATCCACTAAGCGCCACTCTGAATTCAAAGATACTTTCTGTGTATTTACTGTCCATCAGTGACACAGAACAAAGCCAGAGATGCAGACGAAAGTCTCCATCGAAATCCACATTGTGGTATAAATTTTACTGGTGGAGGGTGACTTCAGTACCTAAACCAGTGCTTCCCAATCCTGGTTTGACAAGTACCCTCTACGTTTCCACTTATTTTAGCAAGGACCAGCAAAATTCTCAATAAACACATCTTCACTAAACACCTCTTATTAAAGTTTAACATTTTTATAGCAATTGTGTGTTCCACAGAATAAACCTGTCCACTACTTACAGGCATGGCTGCCTCCTGATTGGCCATGAAGGACCATGGGCTGGTGGCTGGATGCTTTGCCCTTCGTCAGAAACCATCTTGGACAGTCATGCAATTTCTAAGCCTCAGTCTTCTCAACTATCATGTAGAAATAATAATCCCTATCTGTCTATAGAAATTTTATCAGAATGAAATGACTTTTCATATAAGTCATTGTAGGGTTACCGATCAGTTCTTGCAAGGATTTATTACAAAATGATTGAATCAATCTATCTTGAAACCTCATATAAAAATGGGATGTGGTTTGATCTTGTGACACTGACACCGAAAATGTTTTTCTACCTGAAACCAAGCACTTAACCATGTATAAGAACTATGTTCAACACATCTCTTGAGTATAACCCATTTAACTCAAATAAAAACCTTAGTGAGCGCATGCTCAGTCACTTCAGTTGTGTCCGACTCTTTGTGACCCTATGGACTGAAGCCTGACAGGCTCCTCTGTCCATGGGATTCTCCAGGGAAAGAATACTGGAGTGGGTTATCCACTCTGAATTCAAAGATACTTTCTGTGTATTTACTGTCCATCAGTGACACAGAACAAAGCCAGAGATGCAGACGAAAGTCTCCATCGAAATCCACATTGTGGTATAAATTTTACTGGTGGAGGGTGACTTCAGTACCTAAACCAGTGCTTCCCAATCCTGGTTTGACAAGTACCCTCTACGTTTCCACTTATTTTAGCAAGGACCAGCAAAATTCTCAATAAACATATCTTCACTAAACACCTCTTATTAAAGTTTAACATTTTTATAGCAATTGTGTGTTCCACAGAATAAACCTGTCCACTACTTACAGGCATGGCTGCCTCCTGATTGGCCATGAAGGACCTTGGGCTGGTGGCTGGATGCTTTGCCCTTCGTCAGAAACCATCTTGGACAGTCATGCAATTTCTAAGCCTCAGTCTTCTCAACTATCATGTAGAAATAATAATCCCTATCTGTCTATAGAAATTTTATCAGAATGAAATGACTTTTCATATAAGTCATTGTAGGGTTACCGATCAGTTCTTGCAAGGATTTATTACAAAATGATTGAATCAATCTATCTTGAAACCTCATATAAAAATGGGATGTGGTTTGATCTTGTGACACTGACACCGAAAATGTTTTTCTACCTGAAACCAAGCACTTAACCATGTATAAGAACTATGTTCAACACATCTCTTGAGTATAACCCATTTAACTCAAATAAAAACCTTAGTGAGCGCATGCTCAGTCACTTCAGTTGTGTCCGACTCTTTGTGACCCTATGGACTGAAGCCTGCCAGGCTCCTCTGTCCATGGGATTCTCCAGGGAAAGAATACTGGAGTGGGTTATCACGCCCTCCCCTCCAGAGGATCTTCCTGACTCACAGATCAAATCCACATCTCTTACATCTCCTGCGTTGGCAGGCAGGTTCTTTACCACTAGTGGCACCTGGAAACCTTACAGGTACATGTTGTTATCTGACTTTAGAGATGCTTATAGAGGCATTATCCACTGTCCATGATCCCATTGCTCCCGAATCTGGCTTGGGAACACTAAAAGCATCCTATTTATACACAGCTCTGTCCCCTCTCAGCCTCCTTCCCACTACCCAAATCTATTAAGGAGAAAACCCAATTCCCTAGAATCAAAGTAACGTTTTGGAAAATTTCTAAACGAGAGGCTAACACAGACCTCAAATGCAGCTGTCAGAACTGTTTCCTGAGCCTACCAGAAGCTGGTGGGTTTTCCCAGCGAGGAACAAGCCCACCTGCTGGCCAGGAGCCGCTCTGTGTGCACTGGCCCTCGGCAGGACCCTGCTCCCAGATGCCCAGCCGCAGACGGTCACTTGTCCATCTGCTGGAGGCCACACTCCCCTAACAACTGCTCAAATCTGTGGGATCCGTGAACATGAAACAAACAAAAGTGAAAGACAAAACTACCGCTACTGTTTCTTTGGCCAGCTTTTTAATGAGAGCTTAAATAACAGTTTATTAGGGGTAGGGAGTTATGAAAAACAGAATGTCTGCTTTTAAAAATGTACCTTGAGCAATTGGAAATAATCACTGATTAAGTTGAAAATTTTTTTCCTGCGAAATTTAATAAGCAAAGTGAAAGATTTCAGGTTATAGGAGAAAAGAAACACAGCACTGAATCCATCATTAGACTGTGGATCTGAATACTTGTGATTATGGTTAATGCTTGACCATTCAAATCTCTTAAAACACACACACATATTCCAGATAAAGGCTGGTAAGAGCTAGAATTCTGAAAAGACAGCAATGAGAAACAAAGTTCAAAATAGCTACATTTCTCACAAATATATCTAATAAAAGTCATACTACCGAACAGAAAAGATAAATGAACAAAGAAGTACTTTCATCTAGAGAAGTTTCAACTTATGATTAAATACCTAAAAAAAAAAAAAATACAGGATGGAGCTGTATATGCCTTCATCCATCTTGCACTCACTCATCTGCCCGCAGAAGTGCTAACCAGGGACAAACCATACACTGATTAATATGAAATTCAGTGCTTCACATGGACAAACTCCTAAGCCAGTAGCTTTTTGTGCCATCTTGCTCACTGGCAACTAGCTTTGATAAAGGAATTTGCAGGTGTGACAGGAAATGCACTGAATCTTGTCTGAGAAAAAATAACATGAAACAAACAAAAGTGAAAGACAAAACTACCGCTACTGTTTCTTTGGCCAGCTTTTTAATGAGAGCTTAAATAACAGTTTATTAGGGGTAGGGAGTTATGAAAAACAGAATGTCTGCTTTTAAAAATGTACCTTGAGCAATTGAAAATAATCACTGATTAAGTTGAAAATTTTTTTCCTGCTAAATTTAATAAGCAAAGTGAAAGATTTCAGGTTATAAGGAGAAAAGAAACACAGCACTGAATCCATCATTAGACTGTGGATCTGAATACTTGTGATTATGGTTAATGCTTGACCATTCAAATCTCTTTAAACACACACACATATTCCAGATAAAGTCTGGTAAGAGCTAGAATTCTGAAAAGACAGCAATGAGAAACAAAGTTCAAAATAGCTACATTTCTCACAAATACATCTAATAAAAGTCATACTACTGAACAGAAAAGATAAATGAACAAAGAAGTACTTTCATCTAGAGAAGTTTCAACTTATGATTAAATACCTAAAAAAAAATACAGGATGGAGCTGTATATGCCTTCATCCATCTTGCACTCACTCATCTGCCCTCAGAAGCGCTAACCAGGGACAAACCATACACTGATTAATATGAAATTCAGTGCTTCACATGGACAAACTCCTAAGCCAGTAGCTTTTTGTGCCATCTTGCTCACTGGCAACTAGCTTTGATAAAGGAATTTGCAGGTGTGACAGGAAATGCACTGAATCTTGTCTGAGAAAAAATTGGAAGGGAGTAATATGAAGCCCCACTATTGTGATACTCTCCTGCCCATTATATGGCAGAATTGCATGGAAGAGGAAGCTGAAGATGGATTTGGGTTTCTAGGTATTTAGAAAGCCCCTGGAAAACTGAGGCAGTCAGACTCACAACCATCTGAGCCTCACAAACCCAGCTGCACAGCCCCAAAACTACATTTTTCTTTGGCCTGATTTTGTGCATGTCTGAATTTCTTTGGTAGTTTTTAGCAGTCAGGTTTAGTCATCAAAAATGCCAACTTACCAAAACCTAGAGAGAAAATATCACATACTGAATAATCTCAGAGATCAGAGGTGTGTTGAACTCTAAATACCAGGAGTATCTATTTGTTTCCATCTGCTGAGGCATAGGAAAACTGTGCAAATTTTTAAGACCTTCTTTTACAAAGTAGCCTAACAGGTGCTTCATCTGGGGGATTAAAAGGATATGAATGAGATCTTCATCATGACTGTGGATTGCCATGTGCAGTTGATCTTCTAAGTACAACAGTTTCTTGCCTATAGTTTCACATTTTTCTCCAAGTTCTCCCGAAAAGATGTAGGATTCCTGGCCAGGGAAAAAGAAAAAAATATCATTAGTAAACTACAGATATTTACAGGGCTATGAACACATCTGTGATTTATCCAATGGTCCACAAAGGGAAGACTCCCCAACAGAGCTCTGCTACCTTCTGAATCCCATTGGAATCATGCCGGAAACTTTGTCTTCCCTGGAGGTCATTCTTGAGAATGGCAATTTCAGGTTATTACTGAATGATAAGCTGTATGTACGTAACTCCACAGTTTATCTCCTGCATCCAGTCATTTCCAAGACTTGTATCCAGTATATCAACTCCTAAACTGGATTTATCAAAGAGGAAGCCTGGGTCTTTGAACTGCATTCATGGGCAAACTCACACTGGAACAGGAATGCTAACCAAAGAGAGGCTGACCTGTAAGAACAGAGAGTGCCTTTTAGGGGCACAGGACTCCAATAGGGCACTGAACATGTGTTTGTACACTGGTCACAGTCCCTGAAAGCTAGAATACTAAGGAGACTTTTTTATGATTTTTTAAAAATTTTATTTATTTTTTAATTGAAGGATAATTGTTTTACAGAATTTTGTTGTTTTCTGTCAAACCTCAACATGAATCAGCCATAGGTACACCCATGTCCCCTCCCTCGTAAACCTCGCTCCCATCTCCCTCCCCACCCCACCCCAGCCCCTGTCTGGGTTTCCTGAGCCATACAGCAAATTCCCGTTGGCTATCTATTTTACATATGGTGATGTAAGTTTCCATCTTACTCTCTCCATACATCTCAGCCTCTCCTCCCCTCTCCCCATGTCCATAAGTCTGTTCTCTATGTCTGTTTCTCCATTGCTGCACTGCAAATAAATTCTTCAGTACCATTTTTCTAGATTCTGTATATGCATGAGTATACGATATTTATCTTTCTTTTTCTTACTTACTTCACTCTGTATAATAGGTTCTAGGTTCATCCACCTCATTAGAACTGATTCAAATGCATTCCTTTTTATGGCTGAGTAATATTCCATTGTGTGTATGTACCACAACTTCTTTATCCATTCATCTGTCAATGGACATCTAGGTTGCTTTCATTTTCTAGCTATTGTCAATAGTGCTGCAATGAACAATGGGATACATGTGTCTTTTCCAATTTTGGTTTCCTCAGGGTATATGCCTAGGGGTGGGATTGCTGGGTCAAATGGTGGTTTTATTCCTAATGTTTTAAGGAATCTTCATACCTTCTTCCATAGTGGTTGTATCAATTTACATTCCCACCAACAGTGCAAGAGTGTTCCCAAGGAGACTTTAGATGCCAGGAGACCTGTATTGTATGTACGGCTGCTATCACCGCCAGTGTAAGTAGTCATTTTCCCTCTCTTACACCAGGGCATAAGTGCCATAAAAGAAGGGACAATGCATGTCAAGCCCCATAAGAGCTCGGACAATGATGGCTTGCTCACTGCAGGTTCAGAGCTCCTGGCACAATGTCAGACACATGGTAGGCACACGGCATTCATTGTTTCCATGAATGAGTAGCCAAGTCTGGGAGCTCCTGCCTCCTGAAATGTTTCCCCTTCATACTTGTATCCAACACATGAACCAGAAAAGAGCCCTCTTTATGTCACTTTTCTGTACAAAACCACCATGTGGAGAATAATATGAAGGTTACTTAAAAAATGAAAAACAGAGCTACTGTATGAACCAGCAATCATACTCCTGGACACATAACCAAAGAAAACTATAATTCAAAAAGATGCATGCACCCCAGTGTTCATAGCAGCACTATTCACAATATCCAAGACATGGAAGCAACCTAAATGCCCATCAACAGATGAATGGATAAAGAAAATGTGGTACATATATACACAATGGAATATTACTCAGCCATAAAAAGAACAAAATAATGCCATTTGCAATATGAATGGACCTCGAATCTCTACCGTACTAAGTAAGTCAGACAGAGAAAGATAAATGTCATATGATATTGTTTATATGTGGAATCTAAGAAAATGATACAAATGAACTTATCATAGAACAGAGTCAGACTAACAGACATAGAAAGCAGACTTATGGCTACCAAGGGGGAAGGGGGACGAGGGATAAGTTAGGAGGTTGAGATTAACGTATACACACTACTATATATAAAATGTATAAATAAGGACCTGCTGTGTAGCACAGGGAACTATATTCAATATCTTGTAATAACCTGCATCATATAAAAACAATGTACTTCTCAACTTACACAGTGTTATATGTCAATTATATCTCAAATAAAAATATAATAAGTAAATAAATAAGCAGCAAAAAGTGAGCTCAGAATTTAAAAGTAACCAAAAGTAAAACTAGTATTTTTCCAACTAATGGTGAAAGTCTTAGAAGGTATATAAAAATAATTTTGCATAGGGAAAAGAACTGAGATATATATATTCAGATTAAATTGCAGAGTTACTAAAAAATTTTTTATTTATTGGTTGGAAAAAAAAAACAAAATGCCCAGGTGTGGCAATATTTTAGAAGTCCTTAGAGTTCACAAGTTGTATAATACTATAATTGGAGTCCAAGAATAACCATTTAATCAAGATATGTAATTTAACATTCACTATATCAACTCCAGAATTCCCTAAAGTTTATATCCCAAATGGTCAACTACATTAGAAGAAAACAGTGCAGATGAAGTACCCATAACTACCATAAATACTAAAGACATCTAATATATTATAAATTAATATATGTACAAAAAATTCAGTGACAACATACAATTTTGCAGACAAATGGACACGATTATACAAGAAAGCATGTGAAGCATGCATGAAGGTTTGTTCATAATTGACCATAGTAGTGATGAGGAGAAAACAGTAAATATGTAAAAATCACATATACATGTGTATTTTACTGCTCTAAAAGTAGTAACATTGTCATTCAAAGATGTAGAATTACAGAGTAGACAAATTACATGGAAGTTAAGACAACGGGCAATGAGTAATGGCATAGTCATGCATGAACTAAACGAGACAGCAAGAAAAAGAACATCTGGAGAAAAATGATTGACAGCAGTGAAACCACAAGCCATACACGAAGGAGAAAAATACAGTGTTAGTGGGAAAATATATGCGACAGAGATTACACTTTAAAGAGACACAAAAGCATAGAATCAGAACATGAAGCTAAGGAATTTAAAACACTCTTTGATGGAATCAAATGATTCAGTTTTCATCTTAGGGCTAAAACAAATAGAAATCAAAGCTGAATTAAGTCCATTTAAAATATGGCTTTACATATTCCCCCACATACATAATTCCTGCCTGTTTTTATTTTAAAATTATGTGCAGATTGATAGTGATTGTGTGAATTTGGAAAAGTGATTTAAGACCATATAGAAAAACTTTGGGCTTTCCTGATAATGCTAGTGGTAAAGAACCTGCCTGCCAATGCAGGAGATGCAGGTCAGGAAGATCCCCTGGAGAAGNCCCTGGGAAAGGAAGTGGTAACCCACTCCAGTATTGTGGCCAGGGAAATCCCATGGACTGAGGACCTGGTGGGCTACAGTCCATGGGGCTGCAACAGAGTCAGACACAACTTAGCGACTAAACAACAGCAGCAAAACTTTAAATTATTTACAGCCTATGATTCAGTAGTCCCTTTATTGCAGTTTTCCAAAAAGAAAATTTATATATTTAAATTTAAATAATTTTTATTAAGCATTTTAATAAATATAGAAAATATCATATGTGTGAAATAAAAATTTATTATTACTTTAGTAATGCAAAAGTAATTGCATTAGGAGTATGAGAAAGAGGAAATAGCATGTGTCCAACAATAAAGGGAGTGGTTAAATTAAGTCCTGGTATATTCAATTTGTACTTAGCCATTAAAATCATTTTAATATAAGAATATTTAATAATGAGAAAATAAATAGGCAAAGCACTAAAATATTAACAATTATTTGGAGGGCCAGCATTATAGTACATTTTTATTTTCTCCTTAATGTTTTGTTGTATTTTCCACATCTCTGAAATATAATAAAGAAAAAAGTCACTTAGAACACTAATTCAGGCCATAATGGAAAAGTATGGAAGACATACAACTGAATATTTTTAAAAAACAATTTTAAAGCTTAAAAAACACAAGAAATAGAAAACAGATATATGGTTATCAAAGGGGAAGGGCAGGGGATAAATTAGGAGTATGCAATTAACAGATACAAACTACCCCAGATAAAACAGATAACCGACAAGGACCAACTGTATAGTATATGGAACTATTTTGAATATCTTGTAATGACCTATAATGGAAAATGTAATAACTGAATCATTTTGCTATACACCTGAAACTAACACAACATGTAAATCAACTATACTTCAATAATTAAAAAAAAAAAAAGATTAAAAAGCACAAAGAGGCACAGGGAAACAAACTCAGTGAGATCAAGGTTCTCTGATCAGTAACAGAAGAGCTGATTGGCATTCTCTCGTGGGACTGCCTCTTCACGTCACAGACTCTCCACCACACTCCTACACAAATCATTACTGGCAGACCCTGATCCTGCACTGAAAGGACACTGTGTGTGACCTGGGTGTTATGTGAATGGTTTATGGCTTTACCATACTGCTCTCATATGGAAGCTTGGGAATGGAAATAGTGTAAGACCTAAACTGAGAAATGACAGCTAACAAGAGGGAAGATTTACATATTTTATCAATCTGATAAAAAATGCTCCATCGTTCAAAGAAATTCCATCTGTCCACAGAGGGCCAGACGGGACCAGAGTCATGAGCATCAGCTGGACAAAGCTGTGGAAGTCCTGCCTGTGGACCACACCCCGGAGGGGCTGGGTAGAACCTCCTTGCTGTTCCCATGCTGTGCCTAGGCAGGGTGGAATGTGTGAGTGACCACAGCCGTATGGCCTTCCAGATCCTTACCTGTGCTGCCAGGAGACAGATTATTATTAATACGTCTCCCCCTTGAACCTGGCTGGTCCTTTAAGGATCCTCTGGTGCAAAGAATACAACAGAGCTGACATGCCTGACTTCTGGATCA